GACACCTGACAACTCAGCTCTCTCTCTCCCAGCTCAGCTGAGCACCTGACATCTCCCATTAGAACAAGCTCCGTGACAGCAGGGGCTTTGTCACTTTTCCTCACTGTGACATTTCCAGTACCTGCAATTGCCCCTTACAAATATAAAGCATTCAATAAGTAATTGTTGACAAAATGAATGGGAAAATCTCAAGAATAACTAGGGAAATGCAATTTAAACTTTAATGAGAAACCATTCTTTTTGCCCATCTGATCGGCACGTATTAAAAAATACTGGTAATACCCAGTACCCATGAGAGTGTTGGGGAAATGGGTGCTCTCATGTACTGCTGGTAAAATTCTAAATTAGTACAACCTTACAACTTTTTTGGAGGACAGTTGGTAATATGCAAGAAAATTAATTATGGGCTTAAGCACTGAATTAGCAATTTATGCTAAAAAAAGATACATATGCACAAAATTAGAGGTATACAGATATTCATTGTTTATAAGAACAATACACTGGATATAAGTTAAATGATTTAACAAATAATATAGATCCATATAAAGGAATGCCATGAGGCTGTGGAACAGAATGCTATAGGGCAGTACACCATTATAACTAAGAGTATGGATTCTGGTAGGCATGAGTACAATCTCAGCTCAACTACTCACTACCTGTGTTACTATGGGCAAATTACTTCACTCCCCTGTGTCTGTTTCCTCTCGTGAAAAACAGGAACAATAATGGTACCTACATCATAGGTTTATTGCGAGGATTAAAAGAATGAATATTTGAGTTAGTATTGGGGTAAATACTGGCTTGTGGTAAGCATTAATTAAGTTACTTTATTTATTTATTTTTAACATTACTAGTAATAACAGAAAACAATGTCTATCGACATAAAATTAATAATTTATAGATAAATTTACTCAAAAAACGGTTTTTAAAGTATATTTAGGATACTCGAAAAATATTTGAAATAACATCAAAAAGTACAAAAAATATAAAACATAAAAATAGGTAGGCCATACCTATAACACCAGCACTTTAAGAAGCTGAGATTACAGAATCACTTAAAAGGAGCTCAGGACCAAGGACTAGCCTGGGCAATGAAGTTAGACCCCAACTCTTAAAAAAAAAAAAAAAAGCTAGCCAGGCATGGTGGCATGCACTTATAGTCCTAGCTATTCAGGTGGCTGAGGCAGAAACAGCTTTTGAGCCTGAGAATTAGAGCCTGCAGTAAACTTTGATGGGACCACTGCACTCTAGCCTGGGTGACAGAGTTTTTTGCTTCCATAAATCTCAACAGCACTTCTGGGGCCAAGATACCAGGTTACATATTTTGGAAATGATATTAAAACTCCCCTATCAAACTCTTGCTCCTGCCAAAAAAAAAAACAGTCTGCTTGCCTTGGGAACCTCTGTTCCCTGCCAATTTTACTCTTGCTCCCAAACAACCCTATACACTTTCTAGTCAGTGATTGTCTTTCACTAAATCAACTTGTCTGATTGCTTATTTTCTCTGGAACCCACTGAAAGCCCTATTAAAACAATCAACTAATTTGGGGGTGAGATACTCCTTACTAGATAACATACACCTAGTGGTGACACCTCAGTTGACCCAAAAGCTTGGGCCCAAGCCCTTCTCATCACAGTGACCAGCCCAGCTCTTATGATCTGGGAGAGAAAGAAGAAAAATGCCCTAGAAAAAAAATTCCAGAAAACACTAAACTGGAACACTGTTTCCCACCAAATTTTCTGATTCTTCACACTGAAAATGAGAAAGCAGAGCTGAAACACTCTATCAAAACTGAGTTCAGGTGTCACTTTTGCCCTTGACTTGCCTCTGATGCTTCTTAGAAACTTCTTAGCTCCTGAGAAGAGTTATCAATATTGAAAGCAACAACCCCACATGGTAACTGTTTAAGTTTTATTGTGGTAAGAAAATAAGTGACTATATACATATATATTTTTGAGACAGAGTTTCACTCTTGTTACCCAAGCTGGAGTGCAATGGCATGATCTCGGCTCACCGCAACCTCCACCTCCTGGGTTCAGGCAATTCTCCTGCCTCAGCCTCCTGAGTAGCTGGGATTACAGGCACGCGCCACCATGCCCAGCTAATGTTTTGTATTTTTAGTAGAGACGGGGTTTCACCACATTGACCAGGATGGTCTCGATCTCTTGACCTCGTGATCCACCCGCCTCGGCCTCCCAAAGTGCTAGGATCACAGGCTTGAGCCACCGCGCCCGGCCAGTGACTATATTTTTAGCTGTGCAAATTTAAAGTGGAATAGAAAGCCTATGACAGATTAGAAAACGACATTGCCAATAATTAACATATGATGAAAAGCAACAGCAAATTAGATTCTATTCTTCTTTAAAGAAAGGAAAAAATCAATTTGAATTCTATCTGCCTTTCTTCTCAGAGCACACCTCTTTCTGCTTACTGGGCTGGCGAACAGTGACCTAGCCACAGGGCAGGCATCCAAAGGGAGAAAGGAGCTGCAATTGGCTCAGAAAATCCAGCCCCAAAATGTAGAGCTAAGTAATTCATTTGATGGCGTAGAAATAGCAGTACAGTGAAATAAATCTAATTCACCTTTTCCTCCCTTATATTTTGCGTCCTCTGTCACAGGAATTTGAGGATGCGCTGGATGAACATGGATGAGGCAGAAGCTATATTACCCACCAAAGCTTTCAGGCTCCATGGAAGAAGTCTTACCACTTATGCATGGTTTACCACAAGAGTAGGAGAGGAGTCAAGTGAACAAATACCAAATCTACACTGCTAGGTGTGAATCCAAGCTCTGCCACTTAGTAGCTGTGTTGATCTTGGGTAAATTGCTTAATCTCTCTGGGCTTTAGTGTCCACATCTTAAAAAGGGAAATAATAACAAGACCTAAAGCAGAAAGTTATTGTGAGACCTAAGTAAGTTAATATTCGTGAGGTACTTAGAACAGTACCAGGCACACAGTAAGGGATATATATATATGTACAGTCATGTACTGCACAGCCACATTTTAGTCATATTCAGTGATGGTCCCATAAGATTATAACACCATATTTTTACTGTGTCTTTTCTATGCTTAGATATGTCCAGATATGCAAATACTTACCCTTGTGTTACAACTGCCTACAACATTCAGCACAGTAACATGGTCTGCAGGCTTGTAGCCTAGGAACAACCAGCTGTGCCATGCAGCTTAGGTATGGAGCAGGCTACACCATCTAGTTTTGTGTAGAGACACTCTGATGATTACACAATGACAAAATTGCCTAACAGTGTGTTTCTCAGAACATACCCCTGTTGCTAAACAACTTGTGACTACGTGCATTTATGAAATAAATAAAATAATTCATGTGTGATGGCTCATGCATATAATTCCAGCACTTGGGGAGAATCGCTTGAGTCCAGGTAATCGAAGCCACAGTGAGCTGTGATTGTGACACTGTACTCCAGCTTGGGTGACAAAGAGAGATGCTGTCTCAAAAAAATAATAAATAAATAAATAAATAAGAAGTGGGGTGGGAAGGGAATCTTGCTGAATATTTTCCAGAGTCTTGTCTTCTTCCCTTGCTCTCTGACACACACATATCTCCCACCTCCCCAGGAGCTAAGGTGACAGGTCATGGGTCCTGGGGGTTGGAAGCTGCTGATGTTACGTAAGTCGGTGATCAACTGGCATATCTACAGGCCTCACACTCAAGGACTCCACAAACTCAAGGTGCTCAGCAGAAAACAGAAGTCCCAAAAGGCCAATCCCAGCCAGCATGGATCTGAGGGAGTATCTCTTTGTAGTACCCTGACTCCTCATCAATCACAGCAGATATGGGGACAGTGGCCAAGGCCCTGGTGTGTGGCCATTTGGAGGAGGTGAACTCGTGACTGGTGGCCTGTGGATGCTGTAGCCAAACTTCAAGTTCAGTTCACCTCCCTGACTGGGGTGGCTTCCCTCTCAGGCCTGCAGGTGGAGAGAAGGAGCAGCGGGAAGGGGTGGACCAGGAGTAACTACAAGACACTGAGTCATAGGACACATGGCCAGGACCACGGCCAACCTCTGTTTATAGATGAAGAAACTGAAACTCAAAGCGAAGCAGCAAACAGGGAAGATCTGAGTTTTCTGAGGCCAGATGCCATTAAAATTTTAAAGGGAGGTGGTGGATAGTTAAGAAAAAGAATGTAGAATTCAAATACAAAATGCCCCTGACTGCTAACACTACCAGATGGCAGGAGAACGGGATGGAGGGAAAAGTCGCAGAGGAAGGAGACAGCAATCATAACTTACTGTGGTTAAAATATCTTACTTATCCAAATTTTACCAAAGCATAAGACACTGTGACCGCACTGCTAGGGGGCCCTTCAGAGGGTCTTGAGGGGGATTTAGAAAGGGTTGTACAAATGCGGGGCTCTGAAGCTTCAGCTTCATTAGCGCCACTGTAAATCAGCTGACGCAATTAGCCGACAATCCGTAGTTGTCACTAAGCAGTGGCAACCATGATCTAAGTGAGTGGGCTGTAGGGAAGGGCATGGGAGAGGGTAGGGAAGGCAGGGACATGAAAACCAATGCTCCGTGTGAAGGGAGACTTTTGGAATCCTGTTAGTTGTTTCCTAGGAGCGTGACAATGCCAGAAACAGGGTCAGAAAAGACCAGAAGAGAATATGTGTGGAGCAGAAGAGTCAATTCTCAGGGGCCTCAGTGCAGCAGCCTTCCCCCAGCCCCATGGGATGGGCCAGACTACCCTACTCTGAGCATCTAGGCTCACTGATGTGAGACTGCGGAGGAGGAAGCACACGGGGGAGGGCTCCATCCCAGGCTGGGCCTGCCTGCCATCAACTGCTTTCAATCATAGCACTTCCTTCTTCTCCAGGAAAGTCTTTTTTGCATGTGGTCTTGTACAACGCTCAGTAGAAAGTGAGTAAAACCCACCAAGTCAGGCCTGGGCTTGCAGTTGTCAGACTTATCAGGAGACAGTGAAAGGATTCCAGGACTTAACAAAGTTGAAAGTTTCTTACCAGAGGTCAGGACGGTCATCGCAAAAATTATACTCAGTTTCATAGTGCTAGAGTCAAAAAAGAAAAGATAAAACTTGATTAGAAAAGGAAACTGAAAACCGATGTTCACCAAAACTTGACCTGGAAGTGGAGTGTGGGATTCACTTGGGTTCTTGGGTGTTCGGAGACCATGCTAGGGGTTCATCAAAGCCATTTCCTTTTGCTCTCAGCTCCATAGATAGGTCACATTTCCCAGCCTCCCCTGCAGTTAGATAGGCCATGAGATTGGCTTCTTGCCAATGGAATTATGGGCAGAAAAGATGTTTCTTCCATATCTGACTGCTAAAGTCTCCTCTCTTTCCTCTCTCTCCTGCCCTCTTAGTAGCAGGGGATCCAGAAGAAAAGTCCAAGGGCCTAGCCTCCTAGAAAATAGCAAAGTCTTACAATGGAAGGACCTGGTTTGCTGCATAAACTAGTAAAGCAACTCTCTACACCTTTCTGACAACTGACCTACACTGGCTTGTAATATTAGCAAAAAAATAAATCTATCTTGACCAACACAATAGGCATAATGGGGGCAATTGGAGAGTGATGTATTTGTGCTTAGAAATCAGCCTTCCTTTTGTTTTTCTGTGGTTCTCAAACTTTAATGTGAGTAAAAATCACCTGGAGAGTTTCCTGGGCCTCATCCACAGAAAGTCTGGCTTGGTAGGTTGGGATGAAACCCATGAATGTTTGTGTTTAACAACATAAGGTGATGTTTATGTTTAACAACATAAGGACCAACTTTGAGAGCAATTCACTTAATCTATGTGATGAAGCCAAGAAGAGGCCAGTGCTAAACGCTTGCCCTAGAAATCTACCCAATTTGCACTGAGCGGGACTTAAGTTTGGCTTACAGCTTTCTAACAGCCAATGTAAAAAGGAAAACCTAACCAGTGAATTAATTCACATGTCTGTTCACTAATTCATAGCTCTGTCCGTAAAAACAAATCAGTTCTTTCCAGGAAAAGATGCACACCTATTCTTGATCCAATAGCAGAAATTTATTCCCCAGACGGTGTTATTTAGAAGCCATTTGTGTTTCTTTCCTCTCTACTCTCACAGCACCCAGTGCAGGGCACTGAGCTAGAAGTGCCTGCTAATTTTGTTTCCTTCTAGACTAGACCTTTTCTTTTTTTAATAAATATTTTTGAATAGATCATACCTGTGCATGGTACTAAATTTGAAAGTTAAAGGTGCTAAATAATGGAAAGCAGGTCTTCCTCCCAGCCTTGTCCCCTAGCTGTCTAGTTTTCTTCCATAGATGTAACTGGCCTGATCATTGTTACACCAGTTTCTTGCCTCTACTTAAAGCTACTTTAGACAAAACTAAACAAAAAGATAGATCCATATTCTGTTTTCATTTTCTTTTTAAGCACAAATGGTAGCATACTATGTACAGTTTTGCACACATATGATCACCTTGGAGATTATTCTGTATCAGCATGTAATGAGTATCTTCATGCTTACAGTTGCATATTAGTTTATTATATTCCATTGGACAATAATATACTTCCAGACCACTACTGATAGGTACTAAGGTTGTTTCCAATCTTTTGTTGCAATGGAAAATCTTGATTATATGCCATATCACATAAGTGGAAGTAAGCTATATTCCTATAAGTAGAATTGCTTGACCAAAGGGCCAAAGAAGAGTTGCAAATTATTCTCCTCTGAGATAATATGTTTATGCTCTGATCAACACAAGAGCACTTATTTTCATGTACCTTTTGCTAACACGTTTTCTAATTTGTGATCTTTAACAATAGGGAAGGGTGAAATTACATCATATCAGTTTTAGAAATTACTATTAGTTGTGGTAAAATACACATAAAATTTGCTGTCTTAACCTTCTGAGTGTACAGTGGTATCAAATACATTCATATTGTTGTGCAGTCATCACTATATCCATCTCCAGAACACTTTTCATCTTGTAAGACTAAGTCCCTATACCTATTCAACAACAACTCCTCATTCTCTCCTCCTCTCAGCTCTTGACAACTGCTATTCTACCTTCTGTTCCCATGAATTTGACTGCTTGGGGTATAAGTAGACTCATAAAGTATTTATCTTTTTGTGACTGGTTTATTTCACTTAGTATAATGTATTCAAGGGCCATCCATATTGTAGCATGTGTTTGAATTTCCTTTCTTTCTTAGACCAAATGATATTCCACTGCATGTACATACTACATACTACATTTTGTTTATCCATTCATCTGTTGATGAGCACTGAGTTGCTTCTACCTTTTGGCTATTGCACATATTGCTTCTATGAACAAGGGTGTATCAATATCTCTTTAAGACCTTGCTTTCAGTTCTTTTGGGCATATATCCAGAAAGGGAATTGCTAGGTCATGCGGTCATTTTATTTTTAATTTTCTGAGGAACTGCTACACTATTTTCCATAGTGGCTACATCACTTTACATTCCCTTTGACAACTGGAACAAGAGCTCCAATTTCTCCACATTCTTGCCAACACTTGTTCAACTCTCATATGCTATGATACGTAGGTTGCTGTTGGTGATTTAGAATAAGGAAATTCATAGGAATCAGATAGAGAATTCTGTTCCCAGGCTCTACCCTTGCGTGGTGTCAGCTTTGGCTCAACAGGTAATGCCCAAACTCTGAAATCTATTGGCTGGAAAGGAAGGAGACAGCAATCAGGAACCAGCCATTCAGCTCATACATGAAACACCTACTGTGTATTTCAGCAACTGAAAATATTTGCAACTAGTCATGAAGCATTAATTTTCTATGTATAAAAGACCCTCTACAAATCAATAAGAAAAATAAGAAAAAGGCCAAAGACCCAAATTAAAAGCGACCAAAACAAATGTGCAGATAGCATATGGAACTGGAAATTACTAATACATTTGAAAAGATGGTCATACTCAAAATTTAAAAATTCATTATAAAATGACAGTGAGAAACACTTCCTACTTATTAGGCTGGCTTCTATTAAAAAACAAAAACAAACAAACAAAAACAAACAGAAAATCGAGGGCCCTTTGAATCTGAACTCCCACCTAATATAGGAATCTCTCATGGTTTGCAAACCAAAAAACCATTATGTTTGACCTAACCAAAGATAATTTTTTTCTGGGGTGGCATGTCAAACAGGGACACAAATCATGTTATAGTTTACTATAAATCTAACAAATCACCATTAATTCAAATAATTTTATGAAATCAGTATTGCTCTGAGGAATCTTTGACAAATGGCCCCTGTAATTCACACAATGAGGAGAAGCCCTTACTCTCACAAGGAATCAGGACCATTTTTGACTTCCCAGTTTGCAAACTCTCACTTCCCCTGGGTTAGAAGCTGCTTCTCCTTATCTTCCTTCCGCCAATACTGGTTTTGTCTTCTGAAGCTACCCAGAGTAAGCCTAACACAGTTCTGCCAAAGTCCTTCAAGGATTTGGTGACAGCAATCACTTTTCTCCTCAAAATCCTGGCCTGGCCCAGCCGTAACAATCCTTCCAGTAAGCTTCACTAACGTTAATTTGGAGACCACGCATCATCCTAGAGGACATTCTGGACACTTAGTTTATCAGTGACCCTGTCGTAATAGGATCCTAAAATACTCAAGACTGCGTGATTTTCTTTTATGAAGTATATGTGCCCCATGTGAAGAATTTCTCTCTGCTCTAGCCATGATGTGAATGTGTGAGGGTGTGGGCTGGGTTAGGAAGCCAGTCTCTCCAATGTCATTGGCTGTGAAGAAGAGTAGTAATGTCCCTACTCCTTCTGGAATGAAACCCCAACACAACCAGAAGCCAGAACTTTCTCCAGTGGGCCTGGAAAGTGGAAACTCTTGCCTTTGGAGGGAGAGAGCAAAATGGGGAATGGGAGAGGAAAGAACCTACAGATTTATGGGGGGATTCTCTGAAAGGAGATTTCTGTCAGCTAAGCACAGAAGAAGGTCTATGAGGCGGGTGAACAAGTCAGAAACCTAAAAAGAGGAGCCTCCGTGTAACAACTGGAGGCTCATTCCAGAAACCAAGAAGAGTACCTGCCATAATCCACTTCCACTTACTTTATTTGTCCGGCCCATCAGAGAACATGAGTAAGACGTACTAATGATTAATCGTACTGTTACTGCTCACAACAGGGTGACGTTATTTGTCCCCATGTTATAGATGGAAGAATGGAGTCTCAGTGAGGTAACAGTACTTGACCTAGGCCACCCAGCTGGTAAACGGTACAGTTGAAATTTAAACCCATGCAGCCTCACTGTGTTTCTTTCACACTGGTGTAGCTCCTTTAAAAATGCCAACCAGCTTTTGCTCTGCCATGGGAGTCAGCAGAAACGACTCTGATGCTATCCAGCCTCGGGGAAACAGGGGAGCAGCACAGCCCAGGGCCAGGTGTGATGGTGACTCCTGGAATCACCAGAGAGACAGACTGGGGTGGGCGGAGAAGGGGCCCAAAAGCATCCCAATTGCATGAAGAGAGTTTCTTTCCTGAGCTGCTGTTCATTTCGCAAACAGTGCTTGAATACCCACTGTGTGCCAGGTACAGAGAGCTCTTCCCCGCTCTAAGCTGGACAGGCATCAGCTTCCCAGCGTGGGTTTAGGTTTCAGGTGCACACTACAGTGCTCCATCTAAGCCACACCTAGAAGAGCTCTGGGGAAATATGACTACTTGGGCAGAAAAAGAAGGAACAGAGAAGGGGTGTCTTTGTGACTGAGGTCTGAAAGAGCATGTGGGCTCTTATTCAGGCAAAAGGAAGGATGAGGAGAGGTGGGTGGTGGCAGCCAGAAATGGGGTGGGACAGGGGAGTGCAGAGAGGATGAAACGGGAAGTGAGAGGAGGGGCCCGCGGTAGAGGTTGGAGTGCAAAAAGGAAAAAGACTGCTTATTTCACAACCTTGTCTAGAACATTAGTGGTAACTGGAGTATCAGGAAAAATGCTGAGAAGTTTGTTGGTGCCTCAGAGAGTTATTTATTGAGGTCGTCTTCAAGGCAAACGTTTGCTATGTCTACTCAGTGTCAGACTTGTTCTAGAGGTTGAGGGGGTG